CAGCAATTCCACAGCAGAAAAGAAGAGAAACTCTCTCTCTCTCTCTCTCTCTCACACACACACACACACACACACACACACACACACACACACACAGTAGCTTAGAAGATATAGAGAGACAATCTAAATGGAGTACGAGAGGATTCACAAAGTGCAGGTACTAACTCCATTTCTTAATGTACTTTTTTTTGTCTTTATTTGTGCTTTTAAAAATGATATGTTGATATGGGGTTTAAAGGGGTTGTCAAGAATTATGTTTCTAACTCAATGTGAAAGTTTTTCAATTAGCTTCTTCTAAGGATTTGGTTATAAAGTTTGAATCTTTTTGAAAAATTCTAAGGTGGGTGTTTCTAAAATTGCTTTATATGATGTAAATTTGCTTTTTTTTTTTTTTTTTTGGTTTGTTTCTTGCAGAATGGTATATTATCTCCAAGTAAGTTAAGGATGAAGCTAATAGGAGCTCACAATCAGAAGAAGAAAGAAGGATCAAATAGTAATTCTTCAAGAACTTCTCCTGCTAGGCTTGAGGATTCTGAGTTTGTCAAAAACAGTTTGTTGGCTACCCAAAGTGGAGACTTTGAGGATGAATGTATGTTAAATTTCTTCATTCAAATTTAGTGATGTTGAAATAATTTTTTGTTAGCTTTAAATCTAGTGGAAGCTTGAACAACAACTTACCCAGTGTAATGCCACATAGTTGAGTCCGGAGAGTTTAGTGTGTACGCACGCCTTATCCCAGCTGGTGGAGATACAGTGTCTGTTTACAATAAACCCTCTTCTCTAGTGGAAGATTGAACATTTTAGTGAATTGTCGCATCCCACTTTTTTTCACAGTTTCTGTTAAATCTAACAACCATAGTTTGCTAAATATTTGATGGAGACTAAAACTGCTGCAAATTTAAAGGACCTAAACTGTTCAGGGTATATTTAACGGACTATTTTACACCTATCCTAAACATAAGGGACCTTTTTTGTCATTTCCTCCTTTATGCAGCATGAGAAACTTGTAGCTTGGATATGTGCTTCTAGGTTAGTATTCTCTCTGTTTCAACCTATATAACATGCTTTGACTCGACATGGATTTTAAGGAAAAAAAGAAATTTTTGAAACTTGCTCTTTAAAGTATAAAGAGTAAAAGTTTTGTGGGGCCATAACATTTGCGTGGCTATAAAAACTTTTAAAGGTTAACTAGGGAAAATGAAAAGTTTAAAGTTAAATTATTTTCAAATATAGAAATATGTCATTCTTTTTAGAACGGACTAATAAGGGAAATTGTGTTATATAAATTGAAACAGATGGAGTATATATATCTTGTAAGGGTCTAATTATAAGATTTAAGATATATGCGCTAATAGTTTAAACTATAAAACAGTTCTTGCTTAATTTATTTTTCAGTTGCAGTTACCTGTAATTAGCTTTTTGTAACGTGATAATGTAAAAATATGTTCCACAGTAACTCATATTGGATTTGTGTTGAGTTGCTAGGAGAAGAAATATGTTTAGAAGCACTTTTCACTTACCTGAGGAACTGCATTTTTATTGTGCAGATTGCAATTTAGAAGCTACTGGAAATTCATTGCCAAATTCTAGGCAAAGCGATGAGATGCAAAAAGAAAATGTGGAAGCAGCTCGTTTGAAAAGGCAGCAATATTCCAAGATGGATGGTGGAAATTCTAGTTCAGTTCATCCAGTTAAAGGATGCGAAGATGAGAGTCTTGATTATGATAGTACATCCAGCTTTGAGTTTCATAAAGGGGAGAGATCAATGCACCACCATTCCATGATAGCAAGGTCGTTTTCACGGCCCATGTCTTCCAAGTGGAACGACGCAGAGAAGTGGATAATCAATAGGCAAAATGTGCAAGCCAATCATTCCAAGAAGGTTCAATTACAGAACCAAGCAAACCGGGGGCCTGCCACGAGCATAGTTAAAGTTGCTCCGGAATCTAGTGGTTATGAAAGTAAGTTAGCAGTTAAGAAGGTTGATTTTTGTCAACCTGCATATCAGATAGTGCCCGAGAAGTTTGCTTTTGATCAACCTGGTTCTCATAGTCAAGGAAATGGTGTGAATACCGTGTCACTTGATCTTTGCCCTGAAAGTAAGGATTTGACCGAGGTGGTCAATGGGGATTCTTCTTGTACAAAGGGTTTAACAGAAGATAGAACAGGTACATTATGGCTTCTTTTGTTCCTAAATGTTGATTTTAGATTCCTTAAGTTTTATACCTTCACCGGGGGAGGAGCAGAGCAGAAAAGTAGTAGGAGAGAGGGTGAGGTGTTGGGGTTTTCAGATGAACTATTGGCCGTCCTACTAACATGTTAGGTTGGAGTGTAATGGACATTGTGTGCCTCAAGCAGAATTTTGATGCATCCATAGAGGCATGCAGAATTGTCAGATCATTTTCTGTAGGCATCTAACGACTTACCTTATGCAATGCAAAGGCGTATGTTTAGATCAATGCATAGGATTTTCAGATGGAGCACTGCCAATCCTACGACCTCAGGTGGTTGTGAAGAACGACGGTTATCATAGTGTCAAGTACAATTGGTGCATTAGGAAAGTTTGTTGTCTGGTATGTGCCAAAGGACATACATTATCGTTCCGTTCACACTATAGATGGTCTGGCTAGCTGCCGACCTTTAACCAATACAATAACCAGTCTTTTCTTGGGCCGTCTGTTTGTATGATTTACTTGAGTGAGTATACTTCTGTTGAGGTACATAAAAACTGGTTATGAAGTCTGCTAAAAATTAACGAAGGTTATCGGGTGGGATAGAGCTGAAAATTGTGCCATTAGTGAACTGTGATGAAGTTCCTATCGACCAGATGCGAGGTCAGGATTTCAACATTATGGGTTCTAGATTTTAGAATGACGACTTCAAGTACTAATAACTGGGTTCTAAATTTAATATTTGTTGATATTTAGTAATTTTTGTAATACACAAACAATATTTGAGCAAAAGCTATTGGGTTCCGCTTAACCCGTATTTATGCTTCTAGCTCTGCCGCTGCCATACACTACATTCAGATTGATATGTTGACTAAGTTGATGATTTCCCTCTTATATAGGTCATTGATAATACTGTGCTGATGTAAACTGTTTGTTTGAACATTGATGCAGTTTTCCCCGCAATAAGATCAGTCTCGATGAGAGACATGGGAACAGAAATGACTCCTATTCCAAGTCAAGAGCCTTCAAGAACGGCTACACCTATCGATGCAACGACGCCAATCCGCAGCCCTACGTCTTCAATCCCATCTACACCTCGTAGAGGAGAACCAGCGCCAACGCCTACAGAGAATTGCATTGACAATGCTTCTCAAAATTCAACAGAAAACAATAAAAAAGAATTGTCGGAGGAAGAATTAAAGATGAAGACAAGAAAAGAGATTGTAGCCCTTGGTGTCCAACTTGGTAAAATGAATATAGCTGCTTGGGCGAGCAAAGATGAGAAGGATAAAAGCGAGGCTGAAGCTGCTGAGGTTGCACGGATGGAATATGCTAAAAGGGCAGCTGCTTGGGAGGAAGCTGAAAAGTCAAAGCACTCTGCAAGGTTTGCGCCAATATCAAACAGATTTTTAAACCCATGTGCTACTGTTAAATGATGAATTAACAGAAAGATCGTTGATCTTCCAGATATAAGCGTGAAGAGATAAAAATCCAAGCTTGGGAAAGCCAGCAGAAAGCAAAGCTAGAAGCAGAGATGAGGAAAATAGAGGTACATCTTATTATCCATATACTTCTATTTATGTTCTACCATGATTAAAATTCCTCATTTTTGGAGAATTTTTGACGTGTTTTAATCGATCTGAAGTAGATTATGGATGGTTGTACATAAAACTCTGCAAGTGAGACACCTCCTAGAAATTGAACCAACCCTACTCATGCACATATACTGAGGCCATTTAATGTCATATTAAACTGCTACCACTTGAGTTAACGATCAAGGCTCAGTTTACTGGAAAATATTCATGTTATTTTGCATCATTGTATGTATTATTCAGGCACAAGTTGAACAAATGAGAGCACAAGCTCAAGCAAAGATGGTGAAGAAGATTGCGATGGCAAGACAAAGATCAGAAGAAAAGCGTGCTGCAGCTGAAGCTAGAAGAAATCAGCAAGCTGAAAAAACTACAGAGCATGTTGAATACATACGTCAAACAGGTCGACTTCCATCTTCTTCCTTCTCGTGTTGTGGCTGGTTATGATAACATTAAGAGGCAGCAGGTGCAGTGCAGATCAGAGTCGAGTGCACTTGCACCTTACCGTACAAGTTAGCCTCTCTTATACTGTCAGGTTTTGTAATAACAGAAAGTATAGTATCATGCCGAACGTTGTCCACCCTTGTATCTAGTGTTTTTGCTATTTGCAAATGTAAGTTTTTACATGGAATGAAGTTTGGTTTGGTCATTCTGTTAGTTTTATAGCAAGAATTTTCAAGAAAAAAGAAAGCAAAGCAATTGTCATAATCCTTGTGTTGCTTTGGAAATGTTGACTATAGCATAAGGGCCTTTTCTGAAATAGTATTATGAAACAGGTGAAAGAAGAATTTTAGACAATTCTCGACGTATGTTGACTAGCATTTCCATTCATATATTCAAATTAAAAAGAAGGTAAAATTCATGGTTTTATTCAAGACCCTATTAAGTCAACCCTTGATTAAAAGACACTCAAAACCATCTGCTCCTGCTCATAGCTTGATTAAAACTTTTTGATTGCACAATTATTTTGATTTAATTCTTCTAATATACAATTATGATTACACAAGAAAGTTTCATAGATGGAGGTGACAAAATAGGGAGAAATTTAGGTCTTAATCTTATCAATATTACCCACTATTCATTTGATGTATTTTGTGTTACTCGATATGTATATATTCAGAAATACTGACATTGTTTTCGAGCTTTGAAAATGGAAAACCTTTCGCCCCCCTTAATGGACCTACCCAGTACAAATCCAAATTAATAAGGCTAGTTAATGAATTTCAGACACCGGAATCTTAAAGCAAAAAAAAAGAAAGAATAATAGATATTCTTTCTCAACCTTTTTCAGTTTATGTGGTAGTGTTTGCTGTAGACATTTAACAGCCAAACATTACCAATTAATGCTATTTTTCAAGTTTTCCACCCAATACAGTTACAAGGTTACATTCTGCATATAACTGTACAACAAATCAAACTCTACTGGCTACAAATAGAGTAGCTGTGTGACTGTGAGCTATACGATTAAACGGAAATTCTGCATCGTGGTTCCAGCGATATAGTATGGTTTGTAATATATGCAGAGTCCATTGCTTGATCAGGAACTAAGCTGTGGCTCCCAACTGAATGACAAAAATTCCGAAAATGCATCCCCTGCGTTCATAATATATAATGTTATCAAGTTAGTTCATCCAATTTAGATAAAAAGAAGAAGAGAAGATACGTTTAACAAACTTTTGGCTTTCTGGAATCAGTAGACGACAGTTTTCCAGATTGCTAATGTAAAAAAGGAAAGAGAGAAGTTTTCAAGAACGCATAGAATAGAGCACAAGCATATCTTACATTAGATGCTAACGAGCTTTCTTCATACGTTTTGGGGGCCTCATCGTTTCTCTCCTTGAATCTTCTGCAGTTTTGGCATCAATCAATGACTGAAAGCATTTGGAAGGAAAAAGAAAGGTTATTATGATAATGGATATATCAAAAGCAAGAAACAAGGAAATATTATCTTGGAGCTTTTCCACACGCATATGTCATTTGTTAATTTACAAAACAAGCAAGCATTGTACTAGAAACTGGAACTGAAAAAAGTTATAGAGAACAATTGAGATAGAAGAGTAGCTATCGAGGTAAGAACAAATAAGGCCTAAAAAAGACAGACTTTAATTAGGAGTTAAGGTGTTTGATATTTATTATACTGTTAGAGTTGTTAAGAGCATTAGAGCTGGTTTGTACTACTAGAAAAAGAATCTACAACTTTGGCGACCTGCATGTTCATTTAAATGGGAAAGTTCTCCTTTTCTTGGACAGAATAAAACACTTGCATCTTCTTCTCATAAGCTTCTTATCTAAGCCCCTTCAGTTGTACTCTTCTTTCAATTATAGTTCATCTATTATCATATGGTTAAAAACATCATCTGCTCATTATTAACACATATACTAGTACCAGATCCTTCTCTTAGAATTTCCAACCACGATTCCCTAAGTCCTCTCTTTTCTCTGATGATGGTATATACTTCTCGGCAATGTACGTATACCATTTTTTGTTTTCGACAATGTCGCTGGAAAATCTTTAAATCAAGATCACAAGAAAAAAGGCAGAGCCAGGAACACCATAGTACATCTACAGCTAGGGAAAAAAGGCGGAGCCAGGAACACCATTCTAGCAAATAAAGACCGTCTAACGAAAAGCAGAATTGCAAGTCAAACATCATAATAGATTGATAATCAAAACACAGCAATTATGGACCAGGACAACAACATATACAAGAGTTTGCACATGAAAACAACTCACACCCATCTTGCTAAAATGTAAAAATAAAACTGCAAAGAGCCTCTAGTTCGAGAAAGACAAGAAAATTTACAAGCATAACATCACTGTTAAGACCATGTTATACTGATGCTAAATATTAATCTCATGAATTATATACTGAGTCTAAATAATAGGTTTCAATTATTCCATAAAAGTTGGGATTTCACAAGATTACAAGTGAAAGCAGGGGCATCCATCAAAGTGAAATAAACAAAGTTACATGACTATATTTCTAACCTCTTCCACTTTCTTTTGAAGTTCCAAAAGTTCTTGACAATATGCAAGGCACTCTGCGTGGTATATAGCAGCTAAGTCTTTTATCATGGCCTTCCTTCTGATGATACCAATCACTGTAATATCCAAGAAGAAACAGCACATGTTAGATTAAACAAATCTAACTCTCCTTTATGCCTAATCTAACGCAAAATAATTTCTTTTGGGCACAAACATTTCGAACAACAATTACACAGTCACCGAATTCCTTGGAGGTGATATTATTTGTCTGTCATATCTCATTGGAAGACAAAGTGTTCAAGAGACAAACTGATAAGCAAGAAGTGACATATTATTGCAATGTTCATTCTTTGATTAATATCTCAACCCACCTCCGACCCTCCCGAGAAAAGGAGAAATAGAAAATAAAACAGACAAATCTTTAGTTTATTGTTAATGAACATTGTTTCTGGCTTGAAACCCCTAAAGTATCTCAGGTACAAAAGAGAAACAAAAGCAACTAATAGGAAAAAGAATAGCCAAAAGAGATACAATAACAACGACACATCAATCACAAACAAGTTGAGGCCGGCTATATGAATCCTCACTGGCCATGTTGCTTCATTTAAGCCCATGTCGGTCCAATATCATAAAAGATTAGGTTTTCTAGCACCAGAGGTTGTCTATATTTCCTACTGGCATATAAAAAGATAAACAATTAATAACATTATAAGATTACAAAATTACTGTAGTTAAAAACAATAATGCAAAATTTGGCAAACACAATGATGTAATACATCCAAGATCATACAATTACATTCCTCTTCTCCATTGCCAATTCAGAGGAAAACAAAATCCCGGTACACCAATTAGGTAGTTTTCAAACTGAAGCTAAAAATTCCAATCCCGTTAACAAACAAGACATTCTAATCAGTGTTTTAAAAGCCGTGGGTATAACGCGAGACGTTTTACATATGCCTCAGCGAGACGTAAACCCCGAGGCACAGGGCGTAAGCCCCATGGGTATTTAATTTTTAATATTTTATAAAATAATATAATTACAATAAATANGAAGGAGAATGTAGTTTTCTTTGTATTTGTAAGAAAACAAATTGAATATTCGTTGCTTTTGGAAGATATTAGCACACTAGCGGACAAGATAAAGAATTGGGAAATGCCATATTTTAGGGCTTCAATCAATAAAACAGGTCTTCATTTTTAAATTTAATACATTTCAGTTCCTTTTTAAAACTTTTGAGTAATTACAAGCTGGCTTTTGAGAATTTGGGTATTATATGAAGGACTTATTCAATAAATTTTGTTTTAATTTGAAAAAGTCTCTGGGGCTTACGCCTCACTACAAAAACTCACCTCAAACGCCTGGGCGTATACCACGAATTGCTGGGCGTACGCCTCTTGAGACTTTCGCCCCACACCATCGCCTCGGGGCATTTTTGGTGCGCCTAGTCCCAGGGCTCGCCCCGAAAACGCCTTTTAAAACACTGATTCTAATCACTAGTCCTTAAATAACCGGAAACTATGTAAGGTACTTCCCAAAGATATTACTATGAACAATTAGCAAGACTCAATGCGTAATTTTGACAAACGTGAGGATGTAAATAGACATATGAAATTTCACCAATTACATCCCTTTCCTCACCATCACCATATCAGATTACTTTCAAACTAAAGCTGAAAACTTTCATCCATAGTGTCAACAAACATTAAATCCTAAGCATTATATCAAAAATAATGGGCAAAAATATAATTCCTTTATATCAGTCATTTTATTCGGACCAGGGCGGACAGTGACGGAGCTAGGAATTTATAAGAGGGGATTAAAAAAATATTAAGAGTGTCCCCTGGGATATCAATTTATGACCTAAAGCAATTTCTAAACCCCTTTGCCACTTTACTAGAATTTTTCCGTACGTCTAGGGGATTCAACCGTTTAAATATAACAAAAAGAAAGGTTTTTGCCCCATTTGCACAGTGTAATTTTTCGACACAAGGAATTTAATTGAACCCCCTTTCTTCGACTTAGCTCCACGCTCCACAACTGTCGGCAAATAGTGGTTAATTGAACGCCCTTCGCCAGAAAATTATACTGTGTATATAGGTCAAATATTACTTTCTATATACATATATTAAATCTTGAACATCTTCCTGGATCTTCAAACCCGTTCATTCCAATACGAAGTAATTTGTAGAAAATTTCACATAAGTTTCTATTACGACTAAAAAGATCAAAGAAAAAGAGAAAATAAAATCTACCCTTTAGAATGATGGCAGGAATATATGAAGGGTTTTTTTTTTCAGGGAAAAGGAAGAATTAATTGGGTTGGCTTAAAAATTCTCTATATCCATTCCTTAAGACCCACAGTACAACAATTAAAATAATATAAGGCAAATTAGATTCTACAAATCTTACACTTACTTCTGCTGGGATTGAACCCAGTTTGAGGAAGTGGGGTTGTTGTTGGATCTGATGGTTGTGATGGAGGAATAGGAATTGGATCAGACGGTGGAGGCTGCGGCTGTAGGGAATCAGAAGGAGGGGGAAGAGAAGAGGGGTTCTCAAGTTCAACCATAATTGAGATGAGGCGTCTGTCTCTGCAAGTAAGTAGTGACGAGCCTTTTTAGGCTATGGTATTGTGAACCCATCTTGCCCACCAGCTTTCTTTGTTGCACTGTTGATCTTTTGCAGGTAAAATAGGTAAAGTTGTGTTAGTAAAAGAGGTCGAATGTTGGGTGGAATAGCAAAAAACAAATTCTTACTAGCACCTCGATTAATATGTATATATATATTTATTATAAAAATACGAATAATTTATGCTAAATGTTAAACGACTAAAATAATCTTGAAATATTGATCGACTTCTATGACATTAATTATTCATATAATTTAAGAATATAATTGTAAATTACTTTAGGCTGATTTTTCTTTTCATTTAAACTACGCATATATTAATGCTACATAGCTGACTTTGGATCAAATATTTTTTCTTTGCGGCATACTTCTTATATCCTACTTTTTGTTGGACAATATATGGCCTACTTTTTGTTGGATATATGACCGATTTGGTTTCTATATAGCTCAAATTTTTTTTGTAGCCTTTTCCTTTTTTTTACAACAATATTTTTTCTTATTTTATCTTCTCCCATAGAATTCAGCTTATTCACAACCAACTTTTTTTTGGTAGCCTTTTCTTTTTTTGACAACAATATTTTTTCTTATTTAATCTTCTCCCATAGAATTCAGCTTAATTGCACGAATCCATGTAGGAAAAGAATAAGCCAGTTATTCCTATAAAAGATGATATTATCCCACATTGTTCATTGTTCTCTAAAGGTTTTGGTGTAGAACAGAGTAATTTTCTCCAAAGGTATTATTAGTTCTCTCTATTGTTCCCTTTTTTTGTAATTGAGTAAGTTCCCGTTTTTCGTAATTGAGTAATGCTTTAGGGTCATGTATATGAATTAGAGAGAAAAACAATAACATCTTAACTTTTATTGTAATTATTTTTGTGTCGTACTTCTTTATTTTTCGGCGTAGTTTTTAGTTTTAGATATCAAAGTCTTTTACATTGATGTAGTATTATGTTTAAATTGTATATCTTTAGAGATTAATGGTTTGTGTTATTTCAACTAATGTTAGTGTAAAAATATTAATTTTCAGCTATTACATAATATTTTACAACTTTTACTTATATATTGCAGGTATTTCGCGCAGTGTAATGGAATTGGATTTGGACACACGTGCCAAAAGTAATAAACAAATTAATTCAAGTCAATACACAAGAAACACACAAGAAAAAAATCTAAGAAACACGCAACATAAGTTTCACATATTGACTATATGAGACCGAATATTTCTCCTCCTTCGTACAGTTAAAAGACACAAAACGAAGCAAATTTTCATGATTCAATCTATTAAGTTATGTGCATGAAAGTCTTCCTTGTCCATTTTCTCTATTTAATTAAGAAAAGTATAGTGAAAAAATAAATAAATTAGCTAGTAATAGCAATCTTTTGTATCATAAGGTGCATGACATTAACACTTTCCTGGTAATCAGTATATTCACAAATTTTATGTTAGTTATTACGCACGCCTATTGTTACACGTGCGAGACACGTACATAGAGATTAATTATTATAAAAGACGAATATAATGTTGGTTTACAAAAATAACCTTATAATATTAAGCATAATAACTCATAATAAAAGGACATAACCGAAATTCTAGATATTAGCCTTATAATCCTATTAGTTTTAGGATATAATACTACACGTTAAGAATCCTACATGATTACCTTTAGGAATCCTATTAGTATAATTACTTTGGGGCTGTCTAATTCATATAAAATTGAACAAGTAAATATCTTTAGTCATGTAATCCTATTACGTCCTATTATTAATTTAATTTGAAAAATTATTATAATGTCCTATTACTAATTTAATTTCAGAATATATTATATTGTCCAAATTTATTTAGAAAAATGAGAGCCTATATTATTATAAAAGCATAAATACCATATTAATATATCAAAATAGCCCTAAAATATTAAACGGAAGAACTCATAGGGAAAAGATATAATTACAATAACTTATTTTTTGGACTACAATACCTTCTATGCTAATTTTTAATATTTAAAATTTTAAAATTAAAAAAAAATTGTCTACTAAATTGTTACTAAAAATATGTAGGAAGGTTTAATAAAATCAATTTCATAAGAATCCTCCGTATTGGCATTACATTACCACTCCATAATGTCCAATATAAAGAAAAAATAAAAATAATATTAAATGGACTGCATAAAGAGTTAAAATTGAGAGAAAAAAAATACCCCCATGATAATAGATTTTTATATTATATTTGAACTATTTTCCTGCTCAAATACATTTTTTAATATTAATTTTTCGTGTAATATTGAAAAATACCCAATTATTAAACAAAAACTAAGAAAATATTTAAGAATATAAATGTGTGAGAAAGAGAAAAAATAATTAGTAAGAGTCAATACCACTAATGATTCTACAACATAAAGATGTAAAAGTGAAATGTCATATCAATCTTTTACTCTTTGAAAATAAAACTTATGGTGGATAAAATTATAATTAAGATTAAATATTCGAAACAAGAGATGAACTAATATTAAGATCTGAATCAACATAGAATAAATTATTTTTTATATTAAAACCAGATAATTAAATCTTTTAATTAATTATTTAGCAAGAGAATCCAATTCAATTATTTTTTAAATTCATCATATGAGTAAAATTCTTATTCAAGTTACAAAAATATCATAGGGTACATAAATATATTCCATAAAAAGAGCGTTAGAACACAAAGTAAAAATATTAGTATATTATTAAGAATCAAAATGTCATACAAGTGTCAGAATAAGCACAATCAAAGCTAAATCCTAAACAAGAACAAGCTTTCAAGACTATATTATAAAGAGTCGACTCTGGTATAACCGGATTATTCTTTGTAGATGCCTCCAGCAGAATCGAAATAATATTTCTATGTTATGCATTACTTGCAAATATCATATCAAGAGGCATGACACTGTTAGCAATTGTTATACCCCATATTTTCGTATGTGAAAGTACATCATAAATAAATTGATGAAAGCCCGGAAATGAGATTATTTTAGGATTATAAGTATTATGCTATTTCAAATAAGGGATAAATAAATTCGTGAAGGCGAGAGGGTAAGCAAATTGAAGAAAATAAGTATCGTCGAAGTTTGACAATTTGGGATAAAATACGATTTGAGCTACAATACCCGGTATTTATGGACTAGTGCCATACAGGGTACTACATGACCATGATAGTAAGGTGTACAAAGTGTGTTAAAAGTGAGTAGTATTATAAGTAATTTGAGATAATTCTTAATTGTAGGGATACTTGGATAATTATGAATTTTTAAGTGGGAGATTAATTTGTAAATGGAATTTTTGGATAAAGCTTAAGGGGGACACCCCCCCCCCCCCAACGTGGCAGCAAGCATAAAAGGCTTAATTAAGCCTAATGTGACTAAGTAAGTGTTGAGATAAGGTGGCAATATTGGAGGAGTCTTTGTGGACAAGTCATCACATAGTGGGGCCCACAACATATAACTTTAAGAGATCTCTTACCTTATTCAAAGAGTGATGCTAAGACCTGTTAGAGATTTCCTTACGGATGGAGTTCAAGCCAACAATTTTAAGAAGGTTTCTTATCTTATTAAGGTAGGATGCTAGTAACGGATGAATCACTTTGCCTAAAAGCCATTTCTTGGTTTATCTTTTTGTGAGGAATTAAGCTTCTATGTGAATAGATCTCTAAAAGTACACTATGTTGAGTGTACAAACACGGAAAGGAAAAAGAAGCGCGAATCTGGATTAGTCGAGATGCAATTCTAATAGAGCACGGTACAATCTTTCTCAAGAATATTATACAGATTTTTCCATACTTTGATCCGCCGTTACGTGTTTTGTCGCAATTGGCGTGTATTAGAGGGATTGTCAAGAGAATCGGCCCAGGTATGTTAAGGCTAAGCCCTTCCTTCATTTTGGCATGATCTCATAATTACATGTATTTGATAACGAGGCATAAAGAGAAGTTCATACTCCCGAATTTAAATACATTATCCTAGTCTCATAAATTACAGTATTCTCCTTATCGGGACTTCATATTCAATTGAGTATTGTCTTCTTCCAGTCAAGAGAGCAGAGAGCCTATATATACAGTATTACGGTATTTTCATTACCATCGAGCTATAATCGATGGGCATGCCTCTATTGGGCAACCTATGATCAAATGGTAAGTTATATACCGAGCCTACTGTGGCCGAGCGCCTATGAGCGAGCCTAGTTGGCTGAGATACAGAGCCTAGTATGGCCGGGCGCCTATGAGCGAGCCTACTATGGCAGAGCAGTTATATGTATACCGAGCCTTAAAGGGCTGGACAACTATTTTACTTCCTATATTGAGAGAGTTGAGTCAGTATTAGCAGGTAAGCATATCTTCAGACTATCTTTGACTCCCAGTTATTATATTATCAGTTCAGTTTCATCTTTCAGTAAATTGCCTTACATGCTCGGTACATTATTTGTACTGACATCCCTTTTGCCTGGGGACGCTACGTTTCATATCCGCAAGTCTCGATAGACAGGTCGAGAGTCCTCCGAGTAGGCGATCAGCTCAATGGAAGATGTTGGTGCACTCCATTTGCTCCGGAGTTGCTTGTTTGGTCAGTATGATTTAGATGTGTATTGTTTGGTATGGCGGGACTTTTTCCCTACCTTTATGACAATTATGTATTCTTAGAGGCTTGTAGACAGATGTCATGTACGTAAAAGATTGTATGGCCTTGTCGGCCTATGTTCAGTGTACGAGTAGTTATTTTTGTCTCATAGGCCCATATGTCTTATGTATAAATTGGTATTACATGTTGTATTCTACCTATCTCACGGCAGCCTCTACGGCTCAGTTATCTATGATAGTATGATACGAAAAGATACGTTATGTTGGTACTCGGTTGAGTAAGGTATCGGGTGCAAGTCGCGGCCCATCAGTTTAGGTCGTGACAAAAGTAGTATCAGAGCAGTTCTGTCCTAGGGAGTCTACAAGCCGTGTCTAGTAGAGTCTTGTTTATGGGTGTGTCATTCACCACACTTATAAGCAGGAGGCTACAGGGTATTTACGACT